GCGACCGGTTGGTCCGTGTCGAAAATTCACGCAATAAAATTGAAAATTTTCCAAAGAAAGTCTTATTCTCATAACAGAATAATTAGTGTCAAGCGCAAGGTGATTGTTGTCCGAAGTACCGGGTCATAGTTACTTCGTAGGGGCTGTGTGGTACGGCAATGCCGCAGGGGGAGGGGGGGGAAGAGTAAGGAGTTGTGCAGATGACGAAAGCCCAAATCAGTTCTCACATGAGTTTGAGTCGGCAGTTAATTGCGCTCACCGTTCTTCTAGTCGCCGCTGACGATGGTAATCTGCCTCATAGAGACTCACTGAGTGGTTGATCAGTAACGCAGCCTGTACTCTTATTTGGCTCACGCTAGCCAGCTAGGCACATTTGCTAGCTACTGCCACCAGTGCACTCTAATCCGAAGAAACCTTCCGCTTAAATGCGAATCCATAATTTCTCACTTGGGAAAATATTAGTATAATACGCAGCCACAGGTATAACACCTCGGTAGCTTACCTCATCTCTAGTACTTAGGTTTTCCTGAAGAAAACCTTACTTCTCTGGGGTTCATAAATTTGATCAGATGAAAATCACCGATAAAGATGAGAAAGACTGGAAAGACTATTTCGGGCCTGTTAACCGGCATCAGCCAGTCATACCCAAGCCCAAATGGTGTACCACCTGAGGCTTGAACCCGCGATCTGTTGATTAGAAGTCAAACGCTCTAATCCACTGCGCCACGAGCGCGTTGTCTTGTAGGTTTCGATCGGGAATATTAGCAATGGCAGATGAGCGTTCACGTATCGGGTACGGGAATCATTCTTTCCCCTGGGCCCAATCTCGAACCCCGCCAGCAGCTGTATAGCGGTGATCTCAAGACAAGTTCTGCCTGATAGTTGATGTTAGGCTCCCAAGGATGACCATCCTTCGAAAAGAAGGCAAAGTTCGCCCTACAAAATCTGTAATCAAAAATGCTTGCAGTATCATTCTCACATCCTTCTCCCATTTATCATGCAGTTCTAGCGGCAACGCTAGGCTGCGATAACTAGCGTTGTAGTATCGTTGGTGGTAGTTCTCGATATGAACAAGTAGTCTCCAGAGGGCGTAACTGTGACTTGCTTAGAATCCGCCACAGTCCCCTATGACAATATTCATTCTGCGGGTGTAATCCCAGTTTAAAAGTCAGCAAAACGCTTGATATAATCCGGATTCTGGGCCTATATAGGTTCCTCCAACCAAAACCACATTCCAGGAGGGGTTTAGTGCTCATTTTAGGAAGCGTTTAATTGTACGTAAAAGCAATAAAAAAGGAGCAATAAACTTGTGGTAGAACAAGTATTGTTAGCAGTCCTGGCCGAGTTTAAGAACTTTTGTTTCAGACTGGTTCCCCTTACTGCATCATCACAGTCCTGACTACCGTTCGAAGAGGCCTCAAACTACTAAAATTGGAACGTCCATTTAGGAAGAAATAGTGCAAATAATTGCTTTCTTTTAGTAGATTAATTGTTGCTCATATGTAGTGTAAAACGAATAGTTAAAACTTCAGTCTGCACCACTGACCGAAGGCGCCTTTTTATCTGGATTAGTATTTATGCACACCAGTGGGAAAGCGTACAGACTTCGAATGAACGCTATATTTCCTTTTATAGTAAGTGTTTACAGGAGGATTTTGTAAATAGGTAGCCAGGCGATTTCATCAGATTCTTCTAATTGTCAGTAATTCCTCAAGAATTCTGCATAATCTGGTACGGTCACGCCATGGATTCGATTGCAAGAAGAGGTATGATCGAGCCCTTACAGTTTCAATATATAGCTTTCTCAGACAGTTGTACGACGACAACTAATGATTCGTGTCCCAGACAGGCTGCAAGGCACATATGTGAATTATTACGAAAGCTGAGGATCCACAGACTGGGCTTTTAACTTGCACTCCTGATGAGACAAAGGCAGCAGTATCTATATACTACTGTTGGCGGAAGATGAATTCTACGCGGCTACTTCGCGGAAGCTAATGTACTTCCTTTCAAATATTCATTGCAAAATTGGGACCGAACTTAGGAAAGTTTATACTGAAGCATGTTTTCCACATTCCTGTCCCCAAAACGGGCCGCGTAATAAATAAACTGTAGAAACACGGGGCCAGATGGGGGTTACAACAGCTGTTATTTGGGTTACGCTCCCATAAAAATCCCGAAGATGGGTGAGGGAGGCGTGGTGGCACGCGTAGCTGCAGGCTCAGGCCGCACCAGCGACTTGCGCCCGATCCCGCCTCCGGTCTTCTTGATCCTGTCTTGAACCGGGTAGAGGTGGGTAAGGGGTAAGGTAGTGCGGTAGATGCAGCGAAAGTGTAACATCCCTTAAAACTAACTCTTACGCAAGGCAGCGTCCCTGCACCACCCTGCTGTGAGGCGAATGATGGATCTCGTCGAAACCGACATCGAACTCCACATTCACAGAGTGCTTTTGAGGGGAAATAATAAGTGTAACATTTACAACTGAAGTTCATACCAGGAAGCACACGAGGGACGCTTGGGAACC